TTTTAGCAAGATTTGGCTGATAGTCATGGAAAGGTATAAATGGAAACACAAACTCAGACATGGTGGCAGCTGGTCGGGGCAATGCTGGCCAGTTATGGGAGGGCAAGAGAAGGGGCCCTTCATGACAAGGAAGGGGGGGGCGGGGAGCCATGGCAGAGAGAGCTGGAAGGGCATTGGAAGGCAGCACCAAAGGGACATTCCTCACCAACACTTCTGTCTGCGCTGGACTCAAGTTTCAGCCAATAAAAAGTTGGCAAAGAAAGGTGCTTGATAAAATATGGAACTCTTTAGCCAACATCCACCACCTTCAAACATTGCTCATGCAAAAGGAAATGACAACAGTAAAATCGTTACTGCTTTTATGCCTCCAGCAAATGTTTATTGAATGCCTACTCTGTGCATCGCATGTGGGCTCTGTCCTTGCTCCCGTGCGACCTGTTATGGGACAACAGGCGGGATAACTCCACACCCCCTTGTAATACATGGGGAGAATCGTTCCACAGCTCACACGGGAGCCCTGCCAGGAAGGATAAAATATGGGCCCACTCCTCCTTTCGTGGAGCTCTCCAGGAGGGAACAATGAGAGAAGCCAGCCTCACATTTGTAAAGTAGAAGCCTCGAGTGAAAGCGCTTCTTGGAAAGAGAGCAAGAAGAGAGGAGCCCAGGGGTTTGGAAGCAGCTTTGACAACAAAATGCCGAAGGGACTGCTCTGTGCAGGGATTTTAACATGTTCACTGAGCTCTGCTGGGTCTGGAGAGACAGATGCAGAGATGAACAAGCCACCTACTTGCGAGGGGGTGTGATGTGTGCCTCCCAGCGCCAGCTCGCTCTGGGCCAGGGGTGTGGGAGGCAGAGGTCTGTAGCTGAGGCTTCGGAGCAGAGTGAACTGCTTTATCTTCTCCAAAAATACACAGTTGGAGGGAGAGAGGAGAGAATGTTTGCCCTGAGCTACCCGATGCTCATTACATTTTAAGCACCGAAATTTCTTCATTAACACTAAGGTGTTTTAGTCGCTCAACTATTCTAGTCAAAGCCACACCCCCATAAACTAATCCAACCCATCACCCCCTTAGGAAAAAAATACCCAGGACTGTACTTAATAAACAGCCATCACATGTGAGTATATTCTGTTTAGACGTGCCCACAGCCAACAAGGGGTAAGTGGCTATTATTCTTGAGTCTAGGGAGTTCTATGCCAGCCATTTCAATTAATCATAAGAAATGTGGTTTTTACCATTAGATATTAATAGAATAACCTATAAAGGCAGCCATATCAATTATTCTGGGAGCTAAGAGGACAGAATTTCAGAAAGAGAAGCCTCACCCAAGATGTGGGTGAAGTCTCTAGGAACGCATAGGCCAGAGGTGGCTGCTTCTCTCCTCTCCTGTCTCTCCCCCGAGGGACCACCTGCTGGCAAGCACCCCATCCCTTGCCCCCCATCGTTTCCTTTGTGGCTGAGCCTGAAGGAGTTTGATTCGGTCAGATTGAAAGTGCTGGTCTTGGTAAATAGTCAGCAAGAATTATTAGCCCAAGCCCCGCGCCCAACACTGCACTAGAAAAGAAGACCTAGTCTTCCCTTGCGTAGGGCAGTTTCTCACCTAATGGTGGGTATGAGTCTATGCTCATGGCTTCCCTCTAGTTTTTAGTTTCTATCCTGATTTTAACATGTGTGATCTTTACCCCACCAGAGGACAAAGACATGCATAACGCACATCACAATTTGCTATGTCGAGTTTGAGCACCATTATGAACGTTTACCTCACCACCGCCACCACCACTGCCATAAACAGCTTTTCCTCTAGCGCACAAGGACACCACGTCAAGAACTGTCAGAGTGTCGTGTTATGATGGCTGAGTCTGGGGGCGAGTGAGGGAGGATGAGGGTGGGGAGGGGACACACACACCTACCTCAAGTCCTCCTGCCACCTCAATGCTATACTTGTGACCTGGACAATGTCTATCAGATCTTCAAAAAAGTTAGAAAGGAAACTCTGAGTTTTAGAATAAGAAGCTACATGGATTATTCAGGCATGGTGGTGCATGCCTGTAATCCCAGCTATTTGGGAGGCTGAAGCAGGAGGGTCGCTTGAGCCCGGGAGCTTGAGGTTGCTGTGAGCTATGATGACACCATTGCACTCTAGCCCAAGTAAGGCAGAGTGAGACCCTGCCTTAAAAAATTTTTTTTTTAATAAAAAAATTTTTTTTAAAAAGAAGCTACTTAGAAGAAATCATCTGTTACAATCCATTCATCTCAGAAACTAAGAAAAGGTACACAATTTGCCCAGGTCACAACAAAGGAGCACAGGTAGGACACATGCCAGGAGAGTCTGCCTCCCGAAGCCTGGGTTCTTTCTCCTTGCTGGTTGCCCTTGGGGAGATCAGACACCAACACCACGGAGGAATGCAAGCACCAAGTACATCTGCTCTCGGGCCTTTTGCAATGGCCATGTTGTACTTGAGTTTGTACAATCTCTGTCCTGTCCTCCAGTGGGCTTTATGACCCCAAGGTGTAGCTCTCTCTAGTGTCCCTTTATATGCCTAGCCATCTCTTGGACCCTGGTAGACTGATGCTTGTACAATTGAATTGAGCTTTAATAGTCTAGCGTTTACCCACTGCTCTGTTCTAACTCTCCCTAGAGTAGTCTATAACAATTCCTCACGAGCGAGACAGAGAGAAAGAGAGAGAGAGAGAGAGAGAGAGAAACTGACAATAGTTAACAACAAGAATCTGAATCTAAGGAAATGTGAATATTGAAAAAGCAGAGAATATATTTTAGCGTATGGAGCAGAGCTGATCTGGAAATAATCTGGTTTCGATATGCCTCTAGTGTAACCCTTCAAATATAAGAACTCACTATCTCTAATTTCTTTTGTTGCAATTTTCCAATAAAATCTGGCAGTGGCCCAAGTTCTCAGAGGACTAATAGGGATAAGAATGTCCCTGATTTTCCTTCAAAACGAGAAATCATTTCAACGTGAGGAGCCCAGCCGCAACTGGCACAATCCCCAAGGGTCTCTGGATTTCAGGAAGGGGACCCGGGCCTCTCTTTGGCCATCTCAGCAGGCTCCCAGACTTATAATTATTCAGTCAGCAGCCCAGAATTGTGGCCTACTTAGTTTTCTCTAAAAGCACTTAAGGACAGTTTAATGAAAGGAAAGAACAGCAGAGAAAGGGAAAAAATGCTTTTTTTAGGAACTGAACAAAATATCATGTTTTCTTCTCTCTCTCTCTCTCTTTTTTTCCCTCCCTTTTTGCAATATTTCTCCTCAGAGAAAATTATAGTGTTCAGGGCCAGCAATGTGCTCTGTATGTTTTGCTTATTACAGTGGTTAAACGAGAACCACGGGCGCTGGAGTATCATTATAGCATTCTTGATAGCCCTGATATATTTGTGCAAACATAGTTGCGGGCGATGCGTGCACCAATGATGAGCCCACGATGTCTGCAGAAGTTTCTCTGCGTCTTTGTTTGTTTGCACAGCCTCTTGCTTTGCTCTGGAATCCTTAGTTTGTATTCCTTTTAACAGTTTCTGCCTCTCTGAACTACATTTTTCTTGAACTTATCTCCTTTTCCACCTCCTGAGAGCAGCGCTGAAACGTTTCCGTGCCCAACAATCTGCAAGGGAAACGGTTTCGAGTCAGATACGGAGGCTGCCATCGAGACCTAGTAGGCTTGCCCATTGTCACCGCTTCAGTCCCTTTGGTTTGTGTCGCGTCTTTCTCTGTTCTCTGGGCCTGTCAGTAGGAGCCCAGGAAGAGGCTCCTTTCTCTTATACAGGGGGGCCAAGGGACCCCCAAAAATAAAAAATAAAATCACAATGACATTGAATAGCAATGTTGGACAGCGCTGAGCCCAGTGCTTCGGGACACAAAGGAACAACACTCTCCACTCCGTTCCTTGCTCTAAAAATGCCTGAGATGCACTGAAAAGAAAGATATGAAATGTTAATAAGGACGGGCAGGTTAGGGGCCCTCCGAGGGCTGGAGCATGCTAGGATGTCCCCAGGGAGGAGCTGGGCCCTGAAGAAAGAATGGGGCCTTGGGGAGGGGGGGCACAGGGAGGTGAGGAGAATGACCCAGAACACCAAGGCGGCTCAGCCCAGTGACATTCTCATCTAAGCACTCAACACAGAAGGCTTGCTGGACTTTCCATAAGAAAGCGTCCTAAATAGGCGTTACTTACATTCTACATGGACCCGTTTGACCACTCGGTTGGCCTCTGGTGCTGATCGTGCATATTGTGGCGTTTGAACCCTCCTCTTAAAATTTGGCTTCCACTTGGATTGGACTGTCATTGATTTCTAACTGGGGACACAGAAACTTTGAGATTCTGAAAAGAGTGATGGGCTCTGTCCCCAGAAAGATTAACATAAACACAAAATTATGCTTATAATTTCAGGGACCCTCTTGAAGTCACCTCGTGAAGCCCAGGCTAAAACGCCTTGACTAAGCTGTCTTTGAAGACAAGAGATTATTTTTATTCATCTCAGTAGCCCAATGCCCCGAACACAGTCATCGGTCCGTAAAGGTTGAGTGTATGATACAAGAATGAATTCTGCGTCCCTCTCACTTTTTGGCCCCCAGGGACTTCCACCCATCTGGCCTTCTTGGGCCATAGACTCATGTGACCTGCTAAGCCCAGGTGCGCACGTGGAAGACTGTCACAGCACCTGCTCATTGGGCTTTCTGTTCCTATCCTGGCATCCTAGGATAGTGAATTCTTACCATTCTATGTTGCCTGGGCATCTGTTTTGAATAGAACTTTAACTTTCTCATACCAGAAGCAGGGCTCAGTCACCCTTAACACAGTGTCCAACGCTACACCACACCCAAATGGCTCAAGCTGGTAGCCAGAAATATGAACTTGGAGACATCTCTCCTGCTTCTTGGACTGGATTCCCCACTTTCCTGACACTTCCTTTAAAGGACCATGCAGGCGTCTTCCCGCAAACTTAAAGTGACCGGCACTCTGTTCCCCTATAGGTACTGCAAGCTCCACGTGCTCTCCTCTCTCCTGACTCTTCATTCCTGCCTTGTGCTACCCAGGATGGACGGCTGCCCTCCACCTCACTGCACCTGCCCAGATCTGTAAGTAAAAGTCTTTAAACTTGTTTGCGATTATGGAACACCATGGAAAACACAAAGTTGGGCTCCCAGCACCTGAGCGATGGTCAGGCTGGCATACACTGGCCATGGGTCAGACAAAGAGCCAAGAAAGCACCTGCCAGTACAAACCAATTTCCCATGTGGGGAACCCCCTGATCTCAGGTCAGATAGCTGGGCATTAGACCATCCACTGGGTAAAAGAAGTTTCCCTCCAAAGCCACACTATAACACCCTTGTCCCATTCCCTTTCATTTCCTGTTAGGGCAGGGTCACTAGCCACCCTGCTGCTCTGGTGCTGGACCCCCAACTTAGCTAAAGGCTCTTAAAACACCTATAACTTGTCATTGTTGTAAATCCACCATCTTACTTGTTATTTGCCCATCTTGCATCTTACCTCTTGGGAACTGAGTTCTGTCTGGAGTCTAAGATGGTAGCCAACCGGTTAAAGAGACCTATGTCAACATGCTAAGAGAAGAGAAATAGACAAGTCTCTCATTGCCCTTGTTGCTTTTCCAGGTAAACCACATGCAACTTCAAAGATGCTTTCTGGAAGCAGTGCCTCAGTCTTATTTTCTAATCCTAAAGTCTCTCCCATGGGGGGAATTGAGGTCTAGTGGCATGGTACATGTGTCCTTGGAAGGTGGGAAGAGAAGATTCTCTGTGGCAGGGGCAGCTTATAGCAGACCTCTGGTCATATTCTAAGTTAAAAATAATATTATCCTAAATTTGGAAATCACAAAAAAGATAATTGAGTTCCCTTTTAGAGTCATACTAGAGCATTGTCTGACAAGCCTTCCAAAGAGTCATCTGATTCTGTCCTGGGATATATTGTTTTAAAGTTATTTAGTATTGATTAAGAACCTAGACTCTGTAAAGTTAGATGTTAATCTGCAAATTGCATGCCATTTTTATCTCGGAAGATGCAAGCAATTTCTGTCTGCTAGAAAAGATAACCTTATAGGTTACAGTTTTATTGTCCTTATAAGACATTAAATAGTTTTGTATTTAGTTTCTGCCTTATTTCAGCAACTTTTCTTTTGTTGACTATATATAATGTAGTCTCATGTATTCTCTTTAAAACTAGTTTTAAAAGCACCTTGCAGGATTCCTGATCAATGAGTTCAAGGAATCTTTGACTCATGCTCACTCTATAGCTGCATGGGAATTTTTATTTTTATTTTACTTTTTGAAAAGTATCAGCTACATTTCAACTATGGGCAGAAGCTAGTGTCAGAGGTACTTTAACACCCAGAGTGCTGTAGACCAGCCCTTCTTAGACTCTAGCGTGCACAGGAATCACCTGGAATCTTGTTGAAATACAGATTCTGATGTGGTAGCTCTGGCGTGGGGCACTTCTCACAAGCCTCTGCAGAGTACCCACTCCATGGACAGCATTTCGGTGAGTCTGCGGAATGCAAACTGTCTTCACAAAACCTCCATGAATCTATGTCCCCTCCTTGTCCCCCACTCTCCTATGGCCACAGCAGAACCCAGCAATCCTGACTACCAAAGAGCTGAGCGAGTGGGGAGTTTCTGGGAACTTTAGGGGGAGGTTAATGTGTGCAGAGGGGTGTGGGTAGGAAGGTGGGGCACCGTAAAGGAAATGGAGTGATTCATGCTCAACTGCAATTGCATGAGCATTAAATACAATCAGAGGGAAACCCAATCTCCCCTCTGCAAAGGGAAACATCCAACTTGGACCGCTGCTCTCCAAGCAATACAGCCTCCGCCCTCTCCTGACAGGCACCCACCCAGACCCTGCGCCAGAGATCTCTCCGGAGCATTCAAGTGCACGGGCAGTTCCCGACTTCGTGTTTTCTATGGCAGAGAGCTGTTCGAGCTCCTCTGGGAAGAGGGGAGGTAGGTCCCCTTTGTTTTCAGTGGGCACGTTTCAACACGTTGGTGGCCCGACTCTGCTATGCCGCGTGCTTTCTTACGTCATGGTGCACTAGCAGTTTTAATCCTTCATATTTCTTGGAGACACAGAGATCTCAGAGACTCCAAGAAACACACAACAATTGGTTTAGTTCCCTCCCACCCAGGGTTCTCTACCAAAAGGAAGAGGTGCACGGTCCCAGGGAGGGCAGAGAGCTCTGGTCTGGCTCTCAAAGGCCTGCTCGTGGACTAGGCTGCCTCGAGATGACAAGGAGAAAGAAAGAGACAGAGACAGAGAGAGGAGGAGGGAGGGAGGGAGGGAGATACAGAGAGAGGGAGAGAATTGCCAATAGAGCTAGATTTATTCTTTTATTCTGAGAGTACGTTCTGCCTTTTGGGAGATGGTGTTAAATGTCTTCATTGAAGTGATATTGGTAGTACATAACAGGCGGTTGCTTCTTTTTTTTTTTTTATTTTATGTCTTCTATCAGTAAAAGAAAAAGTTGACAATCTCATGTCAGTCCTCCAATTTGGGGGAAAATTGTTCTACTCCGGAAAGCAACGCACTCAAAAACCACTTGCCCTGTGTTCTCAGGCTGTAAATGAGACACCCCTGAGTCAGTCAGTCTCCTCTTCCAGCTGTTTGGAAAGCCAGCACTTTACTCCCAGGGCTGGCCGTGTAGGAGCAGGTGACTTTCTGCTAAACACTGGGAGGCCCCTCTCCTCCTCCCGTCGCCAGTCTGCCTATAAGGAAGTAACCTTGCATGAACGAGTTACATCTTCTGCAGTCGTTTGATACAAAGTCTGAAAACCAGGCATGAGTTGGAGTTTGAAGACCTGGGAATGAGCCTTGGTTCTGCCACTTCAAAACTGCATGAACTTTTGCACATGTTGTAATCTTCTTGAAGCTGAAAAAAAAAATGTTCAGAGTTGCCAAGATAATAAAACATATATAAAGAGCTCTATAAAACATAATATAAAAGAGCTGTGAAAATATAATCTATTGTTACAAATCCCCTCCCTCTCTCCACATTTCTATACGGGGAGGGCTCAGACACAACCACCCGGCGCCCCCGACGGGAGATGGCAAGGCACCAAGTAATCTGCTCTCCGGGCCTGTTTGTGCAATGCCATGTTTCACTGTGAGTTTGTACATCTCTGTCCTGTTCCTCCCAGTGGCTTTATGACCCGCCAGGTATAGCCTCTCTAGTGTCCCTTATTATATGCCTAGCCATCTCTTGGACCCTGTGGTAGACTGATTGCTTGTACAATTGAAAGTTGAGCTTAATAGTCTCAGGCGTTACATGCTCCTGTTCTAAATCTCCCTAGAAGTAGTCTATATACAATTCCTCACGAGCGAACAGAACGAGAGAGTGAGAGAGTAGGAGAGAAGAGAAATGACATAGTTAACCAGCAAGATCTGAATCCTAAGGAAAGGTGAATATTGAAAAGCAGAGAATATATTTTAGTCGTATGGAGGACGCTGATCTGGAAATAATCTGGTTTCGATATGCCGTCTAGTGTAACCCTTCAATATAAGAGCTCACTATCTGCTAAGTTTCTTTTGTTGCAATTTTCCCAATAAAATCTGGCCAGTGCCCCAAGTTCTCAGAGGCTAATGAGGGATAAGAATGTCCCGTGATTTTCCTTCAAAAACGAGAAATCATTTCAACGTGAGGCGAGCCGCAGCGCAATGGCACAATCCCAAGGTCTCCCTGGATTTCAGGGAGGGGACCCGGGCCTCCTTTTGGCATCCCCAGCAGGCTCCCAGACTTATATTAATTCAGTCAGCAGCCCAGAATTGTGGCCTACTTAGTTTTCTCTAAAGCCTTAAGGACAGGTTTTAATGAAAGGAAAGAACAGCAGAAAAGGGAAAAAAGCTTTTTTAGGAACTGAACCAACAACATATCATGTTTTTTTCTCTCTCTCTCTCTTTTTTTCCTCCTTTTTGCAATCTTTTCTCCCAGAGAAAATTATATAGTGTTTCAGGCCACGCAATGTGCTCTGTATGTTTGTATTACAGTGTACACGAGAACACGGCGCTGGTAGTATCATTATGAGCATTCCTTGATAGGCCTGATACTATTTGTGCAAACATCAGTGCGGGCGAGCTGCGTGCACAATGATGAGCCCACGAGATGTCTGCAGAAGTTCTCGTGCGATTTTGTTTGTTCTGCACAGCCTCTTGCTTTGCTCTGGAATCCTTAGTTCTGTATTCCTTTTAACAGTTTCTGCCTCTCTGAACTACATTTTTCTTGACTTATCTCCTTTTCCACCCCTGAGAGCCAGCGCTGAAAACGTTTCTGTGCCCAACAATCTGCAAGTGGAAACGGTTTCGAGTCGATAGGAGGCTGCACTCGAGACCTAGAGGCTTTGCCCTGTCACGCTTCAGTCCGCTTTGGTTTGTGTCGGCAGTCTTTTCTGTTCCTCTGGGCCTGTCAGTAGGAGCCCAGGAAGAGGCCCCCCCCTTCCTTATTACAGGGGGGCCAAGGGACCCCAACAAAAATAAAAATAATCCACAATTGACGTTAATAGCAAGTTGGACAGGCGCTGAGGCCCAGTGTGTTCGGACACAAAGGAACAACATCTCCTCGTTCCTTGCTCTAAAAAATGCTGAGATGCACTGAAAAGAAAGATATGCAACATGTTAATAAGGAGGGCAGGTTTAGGGGGCCCTCTTGATGGCTGGGCATGGCTAGGATGTTCCGCCCAGGGATGAGCTGGCCCTGAGAAAGAATGGGGCCTTGGGGAGGGGGCCACAGGGAGGTGAGGAGATCATGAGCCCAGAACACCAAGGCTGGCTCGCCCAGTGATTCTCACTAAGCACTTACAAGACGGGCTTGCTGGACTTTCCATAAGAAGCGTCCTAAATAGGCGTATTACATTCTACATGGACCGTTTGACCACTCGGTCCTGGCTCATGGGCTGAATCGTGCATATTTGGCGTTTAACCCTCCTCTTAAATTGGGTCTTCCCACTTGGATTGGACTGTCATTGATTTCTTAACTGGGCACAGAAACTTTGGGATTCGAAAAGGTGTGGGCTCTGTCCCCCAGAAAGATTAAAATAAACACAAAATTAGCTTATAATTTCAGGGACCCTCTCTTGAGTCACCTCGTGGGAACGGGCCAGGTAAACGGTCCTTGACTAAGCTGTCTTGAGGAACAGAGGATTATTTTTATTTCATCTCATAGCCATGCCCGACACAGTCATCGGTCGTAAAGGTTAGTGTATGTACAAGAATGAATCTGCGTCCCTCTCCACTTTTTTGTCCCCAGGGAACTTCACCCATTCTGGCCTTCTTGGGCCATTCAGACTGCCATGTGACCTGCTAAGCCCAGGTGCCACTGTGGAAGACTGTCAACAGACCCTGCTCATTGGGCTTCTGTTCCTTATTCCTGGCTCCTTAGGATAGTGAATTCTTACCATTCTATGTTGCCTGGGCAATCTGTTTGAATAAACTTTAACTTTCTTCATACCGAGAAGCAGGGCTCAGTCAGCCCTTTACACAGTGTCCAACCGCTACATCCCACCAATGGTCAAGCGGTAGCCAGAAATATGAACTTGGAGACATCTCTCCTGCTTCTTTTTGGACTGGATTCCCCATCTTCTGGACACCTTCCTTAAAGGACCATGCGAGCGTCTTCCGCCAAACTTAAAGTGACGGGACTGGTTTCCTATCGGCTACTGCAGGATCCCACGTGCTCTCCTTCTCCCTGATCTTCATTCCTTGCCTTGTGCTACCCAGGATGGACTGGTGCTCCATCCTCACCTGACCTGCCGGATTCTGGAAGTAAAGTCTTTAACTGTTTTGGATATGGAACACCATGAAACACCAGGTGAGTTTGGCCCCAGGCACCTGAGCGATGTCAGGCTGGTCATACACTGGCCATGGTGACAAAGAGCAGAAAGCACCTGCCAGTACAAACCACATTTCCATTTGTGTGAACCGCCCTGATCTTCAGGTCAGATAGCGGGCTCAATGTACTCCACTGGCTAAAAGAGTTCCCTCCAGAAGCACACTATACACACCTTTCCGATTTCCCTTTCTTCCTGTTGGGGCAGAGGTCACTAGGGCCACCTCCGCTGCTCTTGTGGGCTGGACCCCAACTTAGGCTAAAGGCTCTTAAAAACCCTAAACTTGTCGTTGTTGTAAAATCCACTCCTTACTTGTTATTTGCCCATCTTGCATCTTACCTCTTGGGAACTGATTCCGTCTGGTGTCTAAGAGGTAGTCAGGTTAAATCCCTACTGCCAAAATCCTCACTCTGAAGCCACTTCTGGGAGCTAAAGCACAGGGTCTCCTAAAAGCTACTATTAAATGCAAAAATAGAATCCAAGTGATATTTTAGCAAGATTTGGCTGATAGTCATGGAAAGGTATAAATGGAAACACAAACTCAGACATGGTGGCAGCTGGTCAGGGCAATGCTGGCCAGTTATGGGAGGGCAAGAGAAGGGGCCCTTCATGACAAGGAAGGGGGGCGAGGAGCCATGGCAGAGAGAGCTGGAAGGGCATTGGAAGGCAGCACCAAAGGGACATTCCTCACCAACACTTCTGTCTGCGCTGGACTCAAATTTCAGCCAATAAAAAGTTGGCAAAGAAAGGTGCTTGATAAAATATGGAACTCTTTAGCCAACATCCACCACCTTCAAACATTGCTCATGCAAAAGGAAATGACAACAGTAAAATCGTTACTGCTTTTATGCCTCCAGCAAATGTTTATTGAATGCCTACTCTGTGCATCGCATGTGGGCTCTGTCCTTGCTCCCGTGCGACCTGTTATGGGACAACAGGCGGGATAACTCCACACCCCCTTGTAATACATGGGGAGAATCGTTCCACAGCTCACACGGGAGCCCTGCCAGGAAGGATAAAATATGGGCCCACTCCTCCTTTCGTGGAGCTCTCCAGGAGGGAACAATGAGAGAAGCCAGCCTCACATTTGTAAAGTAGGAGCCTCGAGTGAAAGCGCTTCTTGGAAAGAGAGCAAGAAGAGAGGAGCCCAGGGGTTTGGAAGCAGCTTTGACAACAAAATGCCGAAGGGACTGCTCTGTGCGGGGATTTTAACATGTTCACTGAGCTCTGCTGGGTCTGGAGAGACAGATGCAGAGATGAACAAGCCACCTATTTGCCAGGGGGTGTGATGTGTGCCTCCCAGCGCCAGCTCGCTCTGGGCCAGGGGTGTGGGAGGCAGAGGTCTGTAGCTGAGGCTTCGGAGCAGAGTGAACTGCTTTATCTTCTCCAAAAATACACAGTTGGAGGGAGAGAGGAGAGAATGTTTGCCCTGAGCTACCCGATGCTCATTACATTTTAAGCACCGAAATTTCTTCATTAACACTACGACGGTGTTTTAGTCGCTCAACTATTCTAGTCAAAGCCACACCCCCATAAACTAATCCAACCCATCACCCCCTTAGGAAAAAAATACCCAGGACTGTACTTAATAAACAGCCATCACATGTGAGTATATTCTGTTTAGACGTGCCCACAGCCAACAAGGAGTAAGTGGCTATTATTCTTGAGTCTAGGGAGTTTTATGCCAGCCATTTCAATTAATCATAAGAAATGTGGTTTTTACCATTAGATATTAATAGAATAACCTATAAAGGCAGCCATATCAATTATTCTGGGAGCTAAGAGGACAGAATTTCAGAAAGAGAAGCCTCACCCAAGATGTGGGTGAAGTCTCTAGGAACGCATAGGCCAGAGGTGGCTGCTTCTCTCCTCTCCTGTCTCTCCCCCGAGGGACCACCTGCTGGCAAGCACCCCATCCCCCGCCCCCCATCGTTTCCTTTGTGGCTGAGCCTGAAGGAGTTTGATTCGGTCAGATTGAAAGTGCTGGTCTCGGTAAATAGTCAGCAAGAATTATTAGCCCAAGCCCCGCGCCCAACACTGGCACTAGAAAAGAAGACCTAGTCTTCCCTTGCGTAGGGCAGTTTCTCACCTAATGGTGGGTATGAGTCTATGTTCATGACTTCCCTCTAGTTTTTAGTTTCTATCCTGATTTTAACATGTGTGATCTTTACCCCACCAGAGGACAAAGACATGCATAACGCACATCACAATTTGCTATGTCGAGTTTGAGCACCATTATGAACGTTTACCTCACCACCGCCACCACCACTGCCATAAACGGTTTTTCCTCTAGCGCACAAGGACACCACGTCAAGAACTGTCAGAGTGTCGTGTTATGATGGCTGAGTCTGGGGGCGAGTGAGGGAGGATGAGGGTGGGGAGGGGACACACACCTACCTCAAGTCCTCCTGCCACCTCAATGCTATACTTGTGACCTGGACAATGTCTATCAGATCTTCAAAAAAGTTAGAAAGAAAGGAAACTCTGAGTTTTAGAATAAGAAGCTACATGGATTATTCAGGCATGGTGGTGCATGCCTGTAATCCCAGCTATTTGGGAGGCTGAAGCAGGAGGGTCGCTTGAGCCCGGGAGCTTGAGGTTGCTGTGAGCTATGATGACACCATTGCACTCTAGCCCAAGTAAGGCAGAGTGAGACCCTGCCTTAAAAAAATTTTTTTTTAATAAAAATTTTTTTTAAAAAGAAGCTATTTAGAAGAAATCATCTGTTACAATCCATTCATCTCAGAAACTAAGAAAAGGTACACAATTTGCCCAGGTCACAACAAAGGAGCATAGGTAGGACACATGCCAGGTGTGTCTGGCTCCTGAAGCCTGTGTTCTTTCTCCTTGCTGGTTGCCCTTGGGGAGATCAGACACCAACACCACGGAGGAATGCAAGCACCAAGTACATCTGCTCTCGGGCCTTTTGCAATGGCCATGTTGTACTTGAGTTTGTACAATCTCTGTCCTGTCCTCCAGTGGGCTTTATGACCCCAAGGTGTAGCTCTCTCTAGTGTCCCTTTATATGCCTAGCCATCTCTTGGACCCTGGTAGGCTGATGCTTGTACAATTGAATTGAGCTTTAGTAGTCTAGCGTTTACCCACTGCTCTGTTCTAACTCTCCCTAGAGTAGTCTATAACAATTCCTCACGAGCGAGACAGAGAGAAAGAGAGAGAGAGAGAGAGAGAGAGAAACTGACAATAGTTAACAACAAGAATCTGAATCTAAGGAAATGTGAATATTGAAAAAGCAGAGAATATATTTTAGCGTATGGAGCAGAGCTGATCTGGAAATAATCTGGTTTCGATATGCCTCTAGTGTAACCCTTCAAATATAAGAACTCACTATCTCTAATTTCTTTTGTTGCAATTTTCCAATAAAATCTGGCAGTGGCCCAAGTTCTCAGAGGACTAATAGGGATAAGAATGTCCCTGATTTTCCTTCAAAACGAGAAATCATTTCAACGTGAGGAGCCCAGCCGCAACTGGCACAATCCCCAAGGGTCTCTGGATTTCAGGAAGGGGACCCGGGCCTCTCTTTGGCCATCCCAGCAGGCTCCCAGACTTATAATTATTCAGTCAGCAGCCCAGAATTGTGGCCTACTTAGTTTTCTCTAAAAGCACTTAAGGACAGTTTAATGAAAGGAAAGAACAGCAGAGAAAGGGAAAAAATGCTTTTTTTAGGAACTGAACAAAATATCATGTTTTCTTCTCTCTCTCTCTCTCTTTTTTTCCCTCCCTTTTTGCAATATTTCTCCTCAGAGAAAATTATAGTGTTCAGGGCCAGCAATGTGCTCTGTATGTTTTGCTTATTACAGTGGTTAAACGAGAACCACGGGCGCTGGAGTATCATTATAGCATTCTTGATAGCCCTGATATATTTGTGCAAACATAGTTGCGGGCGATGCGTGCACCAATGATGAGCCCACGATGTCTGCAGAAGTTTCTCTGCGTCTTTGTTTGTTTGCACAGCCTCTTGCTTTGCTCTGGAATCCTTAGTTTGTATTCCTTTTAACAGTTTCTGCCTCTCTGAACTACATTTTTCTTGAACTTATCTCCTTTTCCACCTCCTGAGAGCAGCGCTGAAACGTTTCCGTGCCCAACAATCTGCAAGGGAAACGGTTTCGAGTCAGATACGGAGGCTGCCATCGAGACCTAGTAGGCTTGCCCATTGTCACCGCTTCAGTCCCTTTGGTTTGTGTCGCGTCTTTCTCTGTTCTCTGGGCCTGTCAGTAGGAGCCCAGGAAGAGGCTCCTTTCTCTTATACAGGGGGGCCAAGGGACCCCCAAAAATAAAAAATAAAATCACAATGACATTGAATAGCAATGTTGGACAGCGCTGAGCCCAGTGCTTCGGGACACAAAGGAACAACACTCTCCACTCCGTTCCTTGCTCTAAAAATGCCTGAGATGCACTGAAAAGAAAGATATGAAATGTTAATAAGGACGGGCAGGTTAGGGGCCCTCCGAGGGCTGGAGCATGCTAGGATGTCCCCAGGGAGGAGCTGGGCCCTGAAGAAAGAATGGGGCCTTGGGGAGGGGGGGCACAGGGAGGTGAGGAGAATGACCCAGAACACCAAGGCGGCTCAGCCCAGTGACATTCTCATCTAAGCACTCAACACAGAAGGCTTGCTGGACTTTCCATAAGAAAGCGTCCTAAATAGGCGTTACTTACATTCTACATGGACCCGTTTGACCACTCGGTTGGCCTCTGGTGCTGATCGTGCATATTGTGGCGTTTGAACCCTCCTCTTAAAATTTGGCTTCCACTTGGATTGGACTGTCATTGATTTCTAACTGGGGACACAGAAACTTTGAGATTCTGAAAAGAGTGATGGGCTCTGTCCCCAGAAAGATTAACATAAACACAAAATTATGCTTATAATTTCAGGGACCCTCTTGAAGTCACCTCGTGAAGCCCAGGCTAAAACGCCTTGACTAAGCTGTCTTTGAAGACAAGAGATTATTTTTATTCATCTCAGTAGCCCAATGCCCCGAACACAGTCATCGGTCCGTAAAGGTTGAGTGTATGATACAAGAATGAATTCTGCGTACCTCTCACTTTTTGGCCCCCAGGGACTTCCACCCATCTGGCCTTCTTGGGCCATAGACTCATGTGACCTGCTAAGCCCAGGTGCGCACGTGGAAGACTGTCACAGCACCTGCTCATTGGGCTTTCTGTTCCTATCCTGGCATCCTAGGATAGTGAATTCTTACCATTCTATGTTGCCTGGGCATCTGTTTTGAATAGAACTTTAACTTTCTCATACCAGAAGCAGGGCTCAGTCACCCTTAACACAGTGTCCAACGCTACACCACACCCAAATGGCTCAAGCTGGTAGCCAGAAATATGAACTTGGAGACATCTCTCCTGCTTCTTGGACTGGATTCCCCACTTTCCTGACACTTCCTTTAAAGGACCATGCAGGCGTCTTCCCGCAAACTTAAAGTGACCGGCACTCTGTTCCCCTATAGGTACTGCAAGCTCCACGTGCTCTCCTCTCTCCTGACTCTTCATTCCTGCCTTGTGCTACCCAGGATGGACGGCTGCCCTCCACCTCACTGCACCTGCCCAGATCTGTAAGTAAAAGTCTTTAAACTTGTTTGCGATTATGGAACACCATGGAAAACACAAAGTTGGGCTCCCAGCACCTGAGCGATGGTCAGGCTGGCATACACTGGCCATGGGTCAGACAAAGAGCCAAGAAAGCACCTGCCAGTACAAACCAATTTCCCATGTGGGGAACCCCCTGATCTCAGGTCAGATAGCTGGGCATTAGACCATCCACTGGGTAAAAGAAGTTTCCCTCCAAAGCCACACTATAACACCCTTGTCCCATTCCCTTTCATTTCCTGTTAGGGCAGGGTCACTAGCCACCCTGCTGCTCTGGTGCTGGACCCCCAACTTAGCTAAAGGCTCTTAAAACACCTATAACTTGTCATTGTTGTAAATCCACCATCTTACTTGTTATTTGCCCATCTTGCATCTTACCTCTTGGGAACTGAGTTCTGTCTGGAGTCTAAGATGGTAGCCAACCGGTTAAAGAGACCTATGTCAACATGCTAAGAGAAGAGAAATAGACAAGTCTCTCATTGCCCTTGTTGCTTTTCCAGGTAAACCACATGCAACTTCAAAGATGCTTTCTGGAAGCAGTGCCTCAGTCTTATTTTCTAATCCTAAAGTCTCTCCCATGGGGGGAATTGAGGTCTAGTGGCATGGTACATGTGTCCTTGGAAGGTGGGAAGAGAAGATTCTCTGTGGCAGGGGCAGCTTATAGCAGACCTCTGGTCATATTCTAAGTTAAAAATAATATTATCCTAAATTTGGAAATCACAAAAAAGATAATTGAGTTCCCTTTTAGAGTCATACTAGAGCATTGTCTGACAAGCCTTCCAAAGAGTCATCTGATTCTGTCCTGGGATATATTGTTTTAAAGTTATTTAGTATTGATTAAGAACCTAGACTCTGTAAAGTTAGATGTTAATCTGCAAATTGCATGCCATTTTTATCTCGGAAGATGCAAGCAATTTCTGTCTGCTAGAAAAGATAACCTTATAGGTTACAGTTTTATTGTCCTTATAAGACATTAACTAGTTTTGTATTTAGTTTCTGCCTTATTTCAGCAACTTTTCTTTTGTTGACTATATATAATGTAGTCTCATGTATTCTCTTTAAAACTAGTTTTAAAAGCACCTTGCAGGATTCCTGATCAATGAGTTCAAGGAATCTTTGACTCATGCTCACTCTATAGCTGCATGGGAATTTTTATTTTTATTTTACTTTTTGAAAAGTATCAGCTACATTTCAACTATGGGCAGAAGCTAGTGTCAGAGGTACTTTAACACCCAGAGTGCTGTAGACCAGCCCTTCTTAGACTCTAGCGTGCACAGGAATCACCTGGAATCTTGTTGAAATACAGATTCTGATGTGGTAGCTCTGGCGTGGGGCACTTCTCACAAGCCTCTGCAGAGTACCCACTCCATGGACAGCATTTCGGTGAGTCTGCGGAATGCAAACTGTCTTCACAAAACCTCCATGAATCTATGTCCCCTCCTTGTCCCCCACTCTCCTATGGCCACAGCAGAACCCAGCAATCCTGACTACCAAAGAGCTGAGTGAGTGGGGAGTTTCTGGGAACTTTAGGGGGAGGTTAATGTGTGCAGAGGGGTGTGGGTAGGAAGGTGGGGCACCGTAAAGGAAATGGAGTGATTCATGCTCAACTGCAATTGCATGAGCATTAAATACAATCAGAGGGAAACCCAATCTCCCCTCTGCAAAGGGAAACATCCAACTTGGACCGCTGCTCTCCAAGCAATACAGCCTCCGCCCTCTCCTGACAGGCACCCACCCAGACCCTGCGCCAGAGATCTCTCCGGAGCATTCAAGTGCACGGGCAGTTCCCGACTTCGTGTTTTCTATGGCAGAGAGCTGTTCGAGCTCCTCTGGGAAGAGGGGAGGTAGGTCCCCTTTGTTTTCAGTGGGCACGTTTCAACACGTTGGTGGCCCGACTCTGCTATGCCGCGTGCTTTCTTACGTCATGGTGCACTAGCAGTTTTAATCCTTCATATTTCTTGGAGACATAGAGATCTCAGAGACTCCAAGAAACACACAACAGTTGGTTTAGTTCCCTCCCACCCAGGGTTCTCTACCAAAAGGAAGAGGTGCACGGTCCCAGGGAGGGCAGAGAGCTCTGGTCTGGCTCTCAAAGGCCTGCTCGTGGACTAGGCTGCCTCGAGATGACAAGGAGAAAGAAAGAGACAGAGACAGAGAGAGGAGGAGGGAGGGAGGGAGGGACAGAGAGAGGGAGAGAATTGCCAATAGAGCTAGATTTATTCTTTTATTCTGAGAGTACGTTCTGCCTTTTGGGAGATGGTGTTAAATGTCTTCATTGAAGTGATATTGGTAGTACATAACAGGCGGTTGCTTCTTTTTTTATTTTTTTTTATTTTATGTCTTCTATCAGTAAAAGAAAAAGTTGACAATCCCATGTCGGTCCTCCAATTTGGGGGAAAATTGTTCTACTCCGGAAAGCAACGCACTCAAAAACCACTTGCCCTGTGTTCTCAGGCTGTAAATGAGACACCCCTGAGTCAGTCAGTCTCCTCTTCCAGCTGTCTGGAAAGCCCACACTTTACTCCCAGGGCTGGCCGTGTAGGAGCAGGTGACTTTCTGCTAAACACTGGGAGGCCCCTCTCCTCCTCCCGTCACCAGTCTGCCTATAAGGAAGTAACCTTGCATGAACGAGTTACATCTCCTGCAGTCGTTTGATACAAAGTCTGAAAACCAGGCATGAGTTGGAGTTTGAAGACCTGGGAATGAGCCTTGGTTCTGCCACTTCAAAACTGCATGAACTTTTGCACATGTTGTAATCTTCTTGAAGCTGAAAAAAAAATGTTCAGAGTTGCCAAGATAATAAAACATATATAAAGAGCTCTATAAAACATAATATAAAAGAGCTGTGAAAATATAATCTATTGTTACAAATCCCCTCCCTCTCTCCACATTTCTATATCCGGATGAAACGCTGCTGGGTAGATCGCTAAGATTTCTGGTTTGCTGGTATCCATTTTTTTTATGTGGAGACAGTTAAATGATCATAGAAACGAGCAGTCTGATTTTCAATTATTCATTAGATTTTATCCATCTGGGGTTGGTCAGGGCATCAAGACCCATCCAGGCAATTTGAATGCGATCAATAACCACTGCTTTACAGAAACCGAGGTAGAGAAAAGATGCATAACCTAACTTGGTAAGTTACGCTTTATCAAATGCTCTGACATCATTTCATTTAACTCTAAAAATGTTGAGTATGAATGTTCACAATCACATCTGAAACACAGAGGTCCTAGAAATTAAATGACAACCTAAAGTCACACCACCAATAAGTGGCCAGGACTGGATGCCAACCTAGTTCAGGCTGATTCAGAAGCCCTGCTCTTAACCTGTACTACCTGCATACTATCTGAGAACCAACAATGAGGCCTCATTCCCTTGTCATGGGGGAAATTCTTTGCATAGGTTCCTCAGGTCTCAGATTGTTCCAGCTCTAAGATTTACCAAAAGTGTAACTTTTGGCACGTCCCTTCTGATAGGTCCTGTACAATTCATAGAAGAAATATAAAATCTCAAATAATTTCCATGGTAGCAATTACAGAAAGCAAACACAAATACTTTGCAACTATAAAAACTGTAATCATTTGATTTCTGTAATGAACTTACTCATCATTAGCCAGAACTGATCAGTGGAATTCATCTTACATTTTCCTGTAAATTAAATGTGAATGATATGTCATTTATTTTTCTTAGTAGGGCTGATAAATGGAACTGCTTGTGCCTAAAGAGTTAAATAAAATATTTTTATGCTATTTACATTGAACATTGGCTAACTTCTTAGACTAATATTGGACATTATCCCATCAGTGTACATTAGACATAACATATGCATCTGTTACCGAAGCTAAACATCTAATTGGGGGAGTGGAAATATAATATAATAAAGAGACTGTATACAGGAGGAAAACTGAACTCCAAAATGCTTTAAATTACAACATGATGCCTTCCACTTTATTTAATCAAGTCCTTTCTTATAACTCAGTTAAAATGAGAGGGAAGAGAAGAAAGAGAGGGAAAGTAATACTAAAATTTATTCCTAATTTTAACTCTGAAGTATACAATAATCATAGTGATTTGGTAAAATAGGTTGAAGTTTCCAAAGCAAAAAAAAAAAAATAGATCTGTGTTTTTCCTGTAAGGCCTTTCTTCAAGAAGATAAATACAGAAACTTTACCTTAATCATTTTAATATTCTGACCTAGGAAAATTAAAATGCTGGTAATGTGAACATGTATACTATAGAAATGGACATGGACACAGGTGGTGGGTATGAATGACAGGGGTCAGTACCAGAAGATTCACTGGAGTTCTCAAAAACTTACAGACATAAACAAATGAGACCAGCTAAGCATTTCAGTCATGTCCAGTGAAAGGACCCAAGTGTAGACACAAAAAGCCATATCTGCTCGGTATGTTAGTCTACGGTTGACTTTAAAAAATGGGAGGAAAAGCAGAAAATGAAATTTGTGCACCTAAAAAATACTTTACCTTGTCTATCTCATAAGCCATCTCTCTTTCCTCCTTCAAAACCCTCCTGCCCCAAAGCCAGCAAAAGATGGGAGGAGCCAGCAATGACTCTGCCTCACATGGCAGCAATGGAAGCTACTGGAACTCTCCATGAGGATCTTCCTGTCCTCAGTATGGGAAACTTCCAAGTCAAGGAGGATGTACTAGAACAGGAGTCAGCAAACTATTTTTCTAAATAAAGTTATATTGGAACATGGCCATACCATTTGTTTATGGACTCTCTGGGGCTGCTTTTGCACTACCAAGGTAGAGTTAAGTGGTTGCAAATTGAGACCACATGGCCACACCATAAAATATTTACTATCTGTTCCTTTACCCCCATGCTAGAAAGAGCTTCAGCCCTGGAGCACCAGAATTGGCATTTTATAAACTCCAAAGCTCTGGTTCTCAACTCTTCTGTAGCCCCTGAATACCTAAAAGGAACAAAAAAGCATGCTCCCCTCAGTAATACTGTCTTACCCCTGTAGTGAAGAGGCTTCAAGTACACACACACACACACACACACACACACACACACACACACACACACATACCCCAGAAAACTATTTTCTATGAAACTAGAGAAATTTAAGCTTCAGAGTTGCTCACATGCACAAAGTCTTGGGAAGGGCGCTAGTGATGTATTCACATGGTTATATGGTTTTGTAACATCTGAAAAAAATAAGATCTAGAGACCATTGCCTCTTTCCATGCCAACTCTGCCCCCATCGGTCTTCTCCATGTGTTGGGTAGGGCTAGAATGCCTGTGGGAATTTTGAGGGGCCAACTAAACAGAAGTCAGGATGGGAAGTTGAGGATACATCTAGTTTGGGCTTAGTTCAGATAGAGAGACAGAGAGATAAATATTTCACAGTCACTTCTTTGTATCATTTAGTTATTGCTAGTCCTCCCGAGTTAGGAATGACTTGCAGACATATTCCTGCTGCCTGCTGTGTGGACCCCACTTGGTGTTGCCATGTAAAAGTGCAGGCTGAGTAGTCTTAGCCCTGTATGAACTTGTCCTGGGGTACCCATCCTTGAAATGTGTGGTAGCAGAGGAGCAAAAGATTTGAAATGTGTGAAGCCAGAAGCTAGTCTATGGGAAATTCTGCCAAGCCTTCCAGTTCATATATGAAATAAAGGACATATTTTCCCAAATCTGATGACAGTCTTAAAATGTTAAATGACACTATTAATAATAAGTTGTGATGCTGGAGCTGTATTATCAATAATAAAAAGTCTCAATCAGTGATGCTAAAAAAAAGATCAAATTACCTATTTCTTTTTATAGAAAATGTTAGAACATCATTATTACATAATGATATGATCAAAGTATACAGCCAACAAACATAGGAAAACTAGTATTACAGAGTTAAACTCTTAATTAATAGTCAAAACTAACAAACTATTAATTAATAAAAAAAATCATGCTGTTTTCTGGATTTTGTGGTCAGCTTTTTAAAATTAGCAAGTTCTTGTGATTTTATTTACATTCCAAAAATGTAATTTTTGGAATGTAAAATTAAAATACAGTGTGATTGTATATCCTTTTTCATAAATAGGCCACTCCCCAATTCATGTAAGCTTTAGGTCTGCAAAACCTGTGCTACTTACATTCTTGCACACACTAATATGTAATTAAAATAAACATTTTTCCTTCTTCCTTTGCTTTTTTTTAAAGCCAGTCATCATAACCTACTATAGAGAGGCTGTGGCTTTAGCAACGGAGGGATTTGCCGTTGAAAGACAGCCTTCAAAATCTACACAAATGGATCATTAACGTAAGTGAACCCGCTGCTAAATGGAGCCCGTCTCAGGCCAAGCCACCCTGCCTGCCGCATGGTGGGAAGGGACACACGCGTCTCAGCACATCTCAGCACCAGGTTGCGCCCTGCGTGTTCCCGAACACAGTATCCAAGTTTTCTGAGCCTCAGTTTCTTCATCCGTCAAAACAGGGGAAAACAGCTCTTTCTCCCTTCGTCCGCCATCGTGCTGCGTGCGTTGGACCCTCTTGCCATGTCTTCTCACAAGACTTTCAGAAATCAAGCGGTTTCTGGCCAAGAAACAGAAGCCAAACCGTCCCATTCCCCAAATGGATTCGTATGAAAACTGGCAATAAAATCAGGTACAATTCCAAGAGGAGACATTGGAGAAGAACCAAGCTGGGTCTATAAGGAATCGTACATGACATATGGCACACATGTTTATGCTGTGTCAAGATCACTGTCATCTCACCATATCAAGGTGGAAATCTCACTGTTATCCGGACAGACACATTGCATTGGGAAAAGTGAGTTTTCTCTTTGTTTATATGCTCTGTACTAATAAGCAGGTTCAGTAGTAAATGTGTGAGACCTTTAAAAAAAAAAAAACAGGGAAAACATGACCCACTTCTCGGGGTTGCTGTGGGGGGTGAAATGAGGGGACAAGGCAGGGGCCAGACCCGCTCCCTTGGCTTCTCTGTCTGGTCTCTCGGGGGCCACCGGCAGCTCGCACGGAGGACACAGCTGGCAGGGGCACATTCGGAGGAAAGCCTCTATAATTGATGTCATACTCACTCAATTTCGAGTCTAGACACTATTTTTCTAAAACAATTGCTTCTGAGGGCCGGTAATAAAAGCAGAACAATGCCAGTCATAGGAACCCAGGAAGGGGAGGATAAATACCGCCTGACGGGTCCCTTCTAACTTTGATCCGGAATGTGGCCTCCCTCCGGGAGGCGCGCGGTGAATGATTTCCACGCTTCTCCACGGCTGTCGCGGTCCTTGCTCTTCACGGCCCTGGGCTTGAGAAAGGAAAGGCAGGAAGGCAGCAAGAAGGAGGCTTGAAGACTCTGGTGTCAAGCTTCCAAGAAGGCTCAGTAAGGAGGGGACAAGATGCTAACTGCCCTGCAGACATCACCGTCCTAGACACAGAGTGAGCTGGCCAC